AATATAATTATTATAGTTATTGTTTCAATTTACTTTGAATTCTATTTAATTTAAAAGCTAGCCCAAGGTTTTATGTTTTTTTTCTAAAATAGTATTACATATTTAATTACATTTGTGTGTATTCAACGATTATATTATTACCAAATTTTTTTTAATTCTGGCAATCTACCCACTTGTGATAATGACAAATAAACAACAAAAAAAAATGGCCGCTTGTCACTACACCCGCGCGAAATAATTATTTAAAAAGAGAACGCATTAAACAAAAACACTTTAAAAAGCCACTGATTAATTCACAGGATAATAAACCTTAATTACATGTATGATTAAAACCGTATTTGTATGAATTAGCACCGCGGTGTGCGTTCACGGAGAAGTTTTCACACAAACTAAAATAATTTCTGAAACATGGGTTGCATAATGCGCACAAAAGCTCCAGTGTAAAGTGACCACCGTTTAAGAATTTTCCCGGATACTTTAACATGAACATTATCAGTTTGCGTAATCACTTGAGTTTTAATAGAGGGAAACAGGGGACTACTTGAACACATTTAATTAAAAACCCATTAAAAAACTTCAAAATATCTAAAAAATCTTCAAAGTTAGTTTGTATTATCAAAGACGGCCGATCTGTAACACCCATATCTTATGAATCTGTGGGCCTTCGATATGATATTCAATTATTATAATAATATTACCTTTTTAAAATACTTTAACTTAAGTCTCAGGTTTTAGACTTGTCTATTGTATACCAAATTTTAATAAGAGTTTTTGTTCTTGACCACCAGATAACTTCATATCAACGTATCTTGTATTGCGATAGAAATCGTACAGCTGAAATTTAGTATTTTGAAAACATTTCTACACCAAACCCTAAGTTATTTAAATGATCGACGTAGTAATTTTACGAAGTGATTTAAATGATCGAATAACGACTGCACGGATGTCGTAGTGGTTTGAGCGGTCGCCACGGCGCTTCCTACTATGCCGAGTGTTGTGGGTTCAAACCCCACATGGGACGACACCTTGTGTGATCCACAAATTGTTGTTCTGAGTCTTGGTGTTCTTTGTGACCGTTTCATGTATGTTTGTAAAATCCGACGCGACACAGGATATTTTCCTGATGCGGGAGTTGTCTTTTCTGAACGAAAGAAAGATCTGTGTACCTCTTTTATTTCTTTATACCTATCTTTTATACGTTTATTTAGTTAAAGCGCTCGCCTCTAACCGAACTTGAATATAAAAACATATCACAGAACATAAATGTTAGCCACCCTACTTGGACGGGTCGGCTGCCAGCATCTAATTTGGTCCGGCAAACAGCGGCGCGCCTGTTTCACCATCCAAACATACGTTTTACATTATTTACAATTCAAATATGAATTTAATTCACGCGTCAACACTGAAAGCCAATCATAACTCATGGTTTATTTATTGTAGTGACTGAGAATAATAAAACAGTGATCGCCTTTTGCTGACATTTTATTTGTAGGCGTGCTGAATCCAATACAGAATTAAGGGACACAAAACTTTTTAAAAATGTCAAAAAGAGAAGCTTTCAGACGCAAACCAACTTTTATATGAGTACGTTTATCTGGGGAAAGGATCCTCACAGATTTTGGCTCGTTTTGCTGAAAAACAAATGCATCGATATACTTACCTAAATCAAAGCATTTTCAACAACAAAATATGGATTTGTTATCAAGAAAAATATTTTTTAAGTGATTGAACCACAAATTATGAACTTACGGATTTTATTCTTTACATGTAATTTGTACTGCTTGCGAATTGTTAAAATTGGCTAGAAGCAAAGAAGATTCTAAGTCAATGCGAAGTACTCCTGAAACGTTAAGAGAAAGCTAAAATATAATAGTCTGTGTTACTGACAAAAGGGAGAAAACTACGCAGAGCAACAGCACTGTAGAGAGAAGGAAATCTTGACACAAACCCTATACCGACACGTCTGGCCAGCGTGGTATAGTAGGCCAAAACCTCTTCTCTAAGGAGAGGCCTATGTCCAGCAGTGGACTATTAAAGGGTGTTGATGTGATGATGTGATGTGACTGACAACTTGACACGTCCACGCCTTTCTGAGAAAGAGTATTTTGACAGGCAAACACGAACAACAAAGTGATCCTTCCTTGCAAGTTATTTCTTTGTCAGGTTGACTACGCGCCAGTAATACAGGTTTGCGATTATCTATGTATTCATTTATCAATAGTCGTTGATAGTTCACAGCTGGGCATAGGCCGCTCCTTACAAAGAAGGCTGGCCAGACGGGGTGGTATAAAGTTTGTTTAAATTTTTCCTTCTCTTTGCAGTGCTGTTGTCTTGCGTAGTTTGCTCCCTTAGTCGGCTCTTACGATACCCAGGAGATAAATATGGATTATAATACTCTGTAATAAGATTCATAATTCGTCACCACATTATCACTATTAATAGTTACTTTACGGCTGTTTTTTTTTCACTTTTTAACTAACTTTATACAAAAATATTGCTTAATAAATAATAACACTTGATGCAGTCATTTAGAATTCCTATTAAAATCTTATGTTACATTGATTATACATTTGAATTTTCGAGAAATATTCGTCAGATGTTTTGTGTTGACTAAACAACACATTGAAGTCCAGCCATTGAGAAGTTCATTAGTAAAGACATTCCGACGACAATTACGTATATTATTATAGCTAAAATATCATCATTATCATCATCAACAGCCCATAACAGTACACTGCTGGACATAGGCCTCTCCTTAGAAAGGAGGTTTTGGCCTACTATACCACGATGGCCAAACGGATTGTGTTGTCCTGCGATGTTTGCTCCGTTAGTTGACTCGATCGACGACGATCGATCGACGTAGTAATTTTACGAAGTGATTTAAATGATCGAATAACGACTGCACGGATGGCGTAGTGGTTTCAGCGGTCGCCACGCCGCTTGCTACTACGCTGAGTGTTGTGGGTCCGATCCCCACATGGGACGACACTTTGTGTGATCCACAAATTGTTGTTCTGAGTCTGAGTGTTCCTTGTGTCCATTTCATGTATGTTTGCAAAGTCCCCCGCGACACAGGATATATTCCTAATGCGCTAGTTGTCTTTTTTATTAGAATTAGAATAAGAAAGAATTTGGGCAGGATACGAAATTGCGAATATCTATAACTAACTACGAATATTTTTCTTATCTCATTCATTGTTTTGTTGTGTTGCTTTAAACAGCAAGTTTAATTCCTAAAATGGCACCATCTGTAAAGTCAGGTTTGTGATTTAATTTCATAAAAACACCTGATGGAGCGAATGTAAACTATGTTTAACTGAGATAAAAACAAATGGAAATACAACAAATCTTACAAGACATATAAAAAATACAATACCCTGTTCCTTTATAATTTCCGAATTAACATGAGGTATGGACTATAAATAGGTAGTATGCGATTTAAAGAAATAGGGAACAATACAAAACCATTACGGATTTTAGTGGGAGTAACTATGAATAGGTAACTGTTTTTAAAATTAGCAGCAAATAGTCCAGAGGAACATAAGAATTTAATTAGACATTTATTGTAATTATTATTTCCATTTATGAGCACTCTGTGATTTTTACCACAGAGTGCTCAACCCAAAATCAAACAAAAGACGCAAGCAAAAATAGCTACAGTCAATGAAATTATTTACAAACAAGAGGTAGCACCAACGCACAGAACACTTGTGTCCTAATTAGGACCTCTGAGAGTGAGCGCACGTACTAATTAATCCAAGAAAAATCATAAAATGCCTTCCTGTGTATTTCGAAAGTGCACAAATACAACAAAAAGGTAAATAAAGATAAAGGAATATCATATACCACAGGTAAGTGTAGAGATTTTCATAGTTTTAATTCAATTAATCTATAATGTATGTACCTATAGTGTTACGGAAGAAATATTTTGTAAGTGCAGTATAAATATACGAGTAACGTATCTTCCTTAAAATGTTATTGGCTACAGTAGTGTTCTTAATAACACCCCCAATTATAATAGTAGAATAACAATTAATTACTGTTTTTGAAATACCACGATACCTTATAAGAATGTGTAACGTAAGTTTTAAATAAAACTGTTTCTAACGTTCTTAAAACTGTAATTTTACTAAATAATTTGATAGCGTTATTACTCGTAACAATCGTAACGTTGCAGCAAAAATAGATATTTACTATACCTCAAGCGTGTTTAGTCCTTATCAGCTTGTGATACGATTCAAATTTAAATAAATTAAGGTATCTGAATTCCATCGTCGCATATCGTTGTCAGTGAACAATGGCCTTGAACTGTGGTCTGTTCAGTGTGACTTGGTACTTGTGTGTTTGGTAATTATTTTGCCATGTTTATTTCATTAATATTATTTTAAATTATGCATATCATACAGTATTTAATAAAAATAATGAAAATTTCAAAATAATACCCATGTAAAAGAATATTATAACATAAAGGTGATACAACTTGATAATATCAATAAAAAGTTTGTCTCCTTAACCCAGTGAGGATGCACTAACTAAAGCGAATAAAATTTATCTATGTGCTCACTCTCGTGGTATATCACTAACGTTTTGTTTTTAAAGTGCTTGTATGTGTATGTGTCTGATATTTTTTTATAAAAGATATTACCAAATGGCTTAAAAACCCATACATCTTCGATTCGAAAGAAATGAGGTTAGTGGTAGCTTTTATATATTCTACTAGTTGTTATTTTGGTAGTTTTTTTTTATCAATATTCTGGTGCCACTGGTATTTTAGTATCAATAGTGTGAATAGCGTCTCTGTGTTATTGTTACATTCTCTCTACAAATAACGGTTTACTTTAAGAAACGGTTACTTATTATCGGTCCGCAACTTAAATATCCATTACTTGTATTGAAGTTTTAGGTATATCTGTTTTGTGTTGATATTAAAGTTGTTAACATAAATGACAAAATAAGTAGTGTTGTGTCTGACTTTGAGTGCTAGATTAAAAAATTACAACATGAGACACAGTAACGCCGTATGGGAATATTTTGAGAAAGTCGGTGACACTAAAAAGGCTATATGCCGACTTTGTGATGAAGAGTACAGCTTTATTAGTACCACTGGAAATTTAAAGAGTCATCTGAAAAAGAAACATGAAGACGCTTATTTAGAAGTTGAAGAATCACAAGGACAGGCCAGATTATCGAATGAGTTGAGTGATGATGGAAAAGAGAGAGTAATATATGAGTATGTGGTAGCTCAGAGTCCTACATCGTCGGTTGACGAGACAGCGAACTCTATCAAAACTGCAACCAGAAAACGGTCCAGAGATTCGAAATTATTAGCATCCGAATACCAGCGCAAAATCTCACAACACGCAGTAGGTAAATATCAACGTTTTTTACCAAATGACATTATTTCTTCGTTTTTGTATTAATTTGTATTGTATTTTAGTTAAATAAGTGTAACGGTTCAATAACGAGTTGCAAATATTGGTAAATCTTATTGGTATTTCGGCTTTTATGCTTAATTATATAAGCATCTACTATGGTTTTAAGTCATAAAATATTTTAAGAGTAATTTTTATTATCACCCATCGAGTGGCCCTACAACTACACTGCATAGAAATCTAGTAGAATTTGAGCATAGAACTCCTGAGTTATTAGGTGTTAATAACGTATCAAATTTGCTGTTACCCGGTACTCGGCGTTTATTTTTGTAAAAAAAAATACTTCTACCATAAGATTTTTAAGTATTACATACTGCACTGACGTTGCAAACTGTTACGTTTTCAATTTTTTTTTTAAATTTTTTTGTGTTTCCCAGGCAAAGCAAAAGCAAAAAGGCTGATTGAAGAGCTGACTGAAGAAAAAATCTGTGTCGCGCATTTACAAAGAGAATTGATAGAGAAGGAAATGGAAGAGAAGAATTTAAAGATAACGCTGTTACAAGAAGAGATGAAACACAAAAAAGAAATGTACGATTTAGAAAAACAAGAAATAGAACATAGAAAAAAAGAAATGGAACACAAAAAGCAAATGAATGAATTGGAAAAGAGGGAAATGTTACTCAAAATTGAAGTTTTAAAAGCTAACCTAAGAAAGATTAACGAAACTGATTTACCTTTAAAATAATAAATAGTATTTGTATAGTTATCTGATTTAAAAGTTCTAATCAATTCTGAGGAAAACCATACTTCGTCACATATTGGCCAGCTCGGGCGGAGTAACACAGAAAACCGATTTTAAGTAGGCTTTTCATTGCTTTTCACCGAGTGAATGAGACTATAGTTCTGGGGGGTCCAGAATTATTCTCCGATAACCTCCCAATTATACCCCCCCCCCCTCCCCCCGGCATAAAAGTGTGGCAAAGGGCCTGTATATTTTAAATTGCAGGTGTCCATGGGAGGCGGTAGTTACTTACCATCATGTAACTCGTCTGTTCATTTGCCCCTATACCTTAATAAAGGTTTAGTTCTAAAACGTTTGTTATTTTCGTGGCAAAAGTTAATGACCAACTGCTACACTGGTTGAAAGAAAGGCACAGAAATAATACTATTGAAATTATTGAGATATCTTGTTAATATACATCGCCGTATAATGTAACTACTTGGCGGCTAATATTTCATGGTGTTAAAAAACTGAAAACTTTGAATGGCATTTCTAAATTTATTTTACTATTTCATGAAGTAAAACTAACATGCCCGACTGCTTTTTCTACCCCAATAATATTGTTTTTATTTTTTCTCATTTAAAGTAAAATCCAATATTTAAAAAAATTGGGGCAATTAGAGGAAATGTGTCATCTGTCGCTTTTAATATATATGATAGACATTTTGACCCTCGGAAAATTTAGTTTCATAATTACTTTATTTTTCCCGTCTCCGCCAGCGCTAATCTCCGTTTCTGAATACCTATTTAATGTAAACTTATGATTTTTCAGACTGTGTGTCATTAATTTTTCTAAAAAGAATCTAATGCTAAATACTTCATAGGGCAAGAAGCCGTTGGCACTAGAACTTTAAATTAAAAAGAACTGTAATTATTTTTAGGTCACATTTTGCCTTAAAATGTTAACTAAAATATTATGTGTTAGAAATTTTACAATCACAGAAACAAAAAATAGTATGATTGTACTTAATCTCGGTCGTAAAATAATACCAATTTAGTTTGGTACTTTTTTATTTTTATACTAGTAACATTTTTCATAGTGTCAAACTGCGCATGTAGTGTCTGTGATTCAGTACCTAAATAAATAGTTGTTATTGAAGAAACCGATATTCAATACGCTTTATTTACAAATAAATGTATTTTACGGTTTTTATAAAGTTGAAGTATATAGGTACTGTTGCCTTTTTGTGAAGTTCTAGTTGAGTAGTGTACAATATACTGATCTTCATAATTTTGCATGGGCTGAAATCGTAAGCCCCAAATGTCTCGCATAAATGCAAGTGTTTTATGGGATTATTTTAAGAAAATAAGTGACACTAAGAAGGCTTTATGCACCCTCTGTGGCGAAGAATATAGTTTTGCCACCACAACTGGGAATCTAAAAGCTCATTTAAAAAAGAAACATAAGGCCGCTTTCAGTGCAGTGGCAGAGGCTCAAGAGCAGGCGAGATATAATGACAGAGGAAATCGGAGTGTTATCTATGAATATGTTGTTGTTCCTAGTCCTACATCGTCGGTAAACGAGTCAACGACTACCGAATGTATAACAAAAGCCAATTTACAATCAAGGGAATCACTATCAGAAAAACGGTCAAAACTTTCACAAGAGGGGAAAGGTAAAGTATTCAATTTATACCGATTCAATAAATAGTTTCAAAACATCGATCGTTGTTACATAATTATAGGCGTTTGTAACTATCTCCCGCCTTTCCTTAAAAGGCAATAAAAGATATCGCGACATTGTATATTTTTGTATATTCATATTACATTAATACCAGCTGTGTTATTATTGTTTGTTGTACAGACACTTCAAAGGAAAACAGATTAATTGAAGAATTGACTGAAGAAAAAATCCGTATTGCTAATTTACAAAAGGAATTAATAGAAAAAGAAATGAAAGAGAAGAATTTAAAGATAACTCTGTTACAAGACGAGATGAATCACAAAAAGCTTTTATACGAATTGGAGAAATATGAAATAGAACACAGAAAACAAGAAATTAAACATAAAAATCAAATAAACGATTTGGCTAAACAAGAAATGTTACTTAAAATCGAAGTTTTGAATGCTACTTTAAGTAATTCTAGATAACAAAATGCTAAATAAATATAATTGTAGGTTATTTCAACCTAAATTTATTAAATCTAAATTATCAACAACAAATTACCAACTTTTACAAGACGTTTTTATTATTACCGACTAAAGATCGAATTTCGTTGTTTTTCACGGCATAAGGGGGCAAACGAGCAGACGGGTCACCTGATGGTAAGCAACTACCGTCGCCCATGGACACCTGCAACTCAAAAGTCACAAGTGTGTTGCTGCCCTTGGAGTCTCTCCCGCTAGAGTTAGCTGGAGGGGGGGATTTGGGCTCCGGTAACCTCACTCCGGTTTTCTCTGAGGCCGTGGCATTACTCCGGTTGAGCCGGCCCATTCGTGCCGAAGCATGGTTCTCCCACGGTAAATGTCTATGTCTTGTTTGTCTTGTTTTGTAATTTTCAATGTCTTGTTTTACTTCTTTGACCAATAGCTACATAGTACATACGTAACGTTTGAAACGCCTGTTTCTACCTCTTCGGGTATATAAACATATATATTATATTACTGTACATATATAGAAGTGCTGCTCAAAATCTGGAATAAATGCCTTAGGGTATAAATTATCTCGGAGCGCGCACGCCCTTCGGGGCAGGGAAGGAACATCCGGGTTCCCACACAAGAAGGGTCATCTATAAGCCGTAGATGGCTGGAAGCACGTCGGGGTATAAGCTTTCTGGGGTATACCTGGTTCCCCGGCTACTGGTACCTGGCGACGGCGTGCAGTTATTGGTCAGTTCGAGTCCGACACCCACTGGTGGGTGGTATCCGAGAGGAGTTCCGCATAGAAAAAAAGGGTATAAAGTATCTCTCCCTCTTTTTTACAACTAATTGGCAAAAGTAAGTACCTACCGATGTGTATCGAAACTAGAAACAAATATTGTATTCACTGAATATTTTATCAGAGTCAAATAGTATATTCGTTCTTTCGTGTTATTAATTATTGCTGATTTTTATTTCATAGAAATAAAGCTCGTCTGCGTCTCTTAAAAGGAATATTTTTTTCCCCGTTTTTGCAACATTTGTCTTTAATACTCGGCTCCCATTGATGGTTGCATGAAGTTACTTAGCCTTCCTTGATAAGTTAGCTCACTTATCGAGGAAGGCTTTATAACTTCACGAAAGACAACGGAACACCAAGAAAAATATTTTTTCATTTCGAACCTGAAATGACTGAGATAAGCGCATTCAACCAAACAAATGAACAAACTCATCAGTGTGACGTAGAAATATTAGTCAGTATGGACGTAATAATATTAATATAGACTTGACAACCAGGTTCTTGTGAAACAGTCAGTGTTTTTATTTTTAGCATAAGGATGCAAACGAGCAGACGAGACACCTGATGGCAATTGATGACCGCTATGGACTACCTACAACTAAGGCATGTACCCGCTTTTTGAGTCACCCCCTCCCCCCCCCTACTGAAGTAGACACAGTACCTTAATGTGCAATCTTCATCAACAGCCCACAACAGTCTGACATAGGTAGTTAAAAAGAAAGTTTTTACCTACCTACTATACCACGCTGGCCAGACGGGATGGTATAGGGTTTGTCTTAACTTTTCCTTCTCTGCCAAGCCATAAACTTAGTAAATATTCCAAGTTTATGTCGGAGTCGTAAGAGTCGACTTAGTCATCCTAAGTCCTAAGTCGATTAGTAGGTAATCCTAAGTCGATTCTTACGACTCCCAAAGGAAGGTAGGGGTGGTGACACTCCGTATTCTTAATCCGTCACCACACGGAATTATCTCCCCTTTAAAGGCTACCTCGCTAAGTAACGTAGGGTTTTTATACTCTTTGCTACATACTCTTAGCTTTTACCATAAACTTGGAATACCTACTAAGTTTATGGCTTTAACTCAAAATCGTCAGGATTAATCAATATTGTCAAATCTCTACAGTGTTATAACAAGAGTTGTGAAACCTGAAAAAAGTAATAAAAAATATATATGGAAGTGTAGTTAATATCGTGACAATGATAAAATATAGAAAAGAAGTACCTACATTGGTCTGGGCGCGCCTGAAAAGATTAGTAACAATTTTATGTAAGTTTTTTTTCAAATATAATAGTGAACGATATAGTTTGTGTAATTATTTACACATATGTAATAATAATGATAATAAATCATTTATAAATCATCAAAGAATTGCAGAAGTACATTATCATTAAAGTTACAATATTCTAAAGTTTTGAACCCTGACATCCAAACTAGGCACTGACCTGTGTTTTGGACATCAGTTTTCTGCTAGCCACTATTGACAATATTGTCAATCTTGGACTTGTTGGACTACTTTACTGTTACAGTTTTTAGTAATAACATAATTATGGCTTAGATATAGGAGCATGGATTGTAAGAATATCAGTGCGATGGGTGTATGTGTGTGTTCCTGGGTGTGGGGGTGTATGTATGAGGGTGTGTATGGGAATCACTGCGATCGTCTGTTGGTGTTACGTACATTTGGTATCTTCACAGTGCTAGTCCAACCAGGTCAAAAGCTCAGACGATTTTTTGGTAGGTATTATTAAGTGATTACGGTACTTCTCGTACCTACATGTAAATACATATAAAATGCAAAATTTCGATTTTAACTACACATACGAAATCGAGATCTCAACTAGAGTAACTCAACTCGAAATGCAAAATCTCGATCAGAACCAGAGCACCTCAACTAGAAATGTACCATTTCCGTAAAAATATAAAAATACAACAAAATGTAAAGTTGAAAAACACATTAAACAGTACAATAATGTTTACAGTTTTGAAACTTGTATAAATTTTAATCGTTTTTTATGAAGCTTATTTATAATGCTCTCTGAAACTTATTATTTTTTATAGATGTGTCCAAAGAAAAAAAACTAGATGAACTACTTAAAGTAGAAAAGAATCACATTGTGAATTTAAAGAAAGAACTAGACGCAGAAGAGTTGAATGAACAAAAATTGCAACTAGAGCTAATTAAAGAAGAAATGGAACACAAAAGAGAGTTAAATAAACTACTAAAGCAAGTTTCGTCATTAAAAGTGAAGGAAAAATTCCTATAAACTATTTGTCGATAGTATTGTATATATACAGTTTCATGTTATATAAAAATGAGCTTTTTTTATTTTCAAACCACCCTAATATTTTTCAGAAGCTAAATTATCAAACAAAATTGTAGCCACGTATACTGACAACTATTGACAACAGTCCTCGTAACACGTCTAGCCTTAGCTGAATGAGACCCCTCTCTTCTCATCATCTGATCCCGCATTAGGAAATCTTTTTGAGTTAATAGTACCTACGTATACAACTTTCTAATTTAAATTATCCGTTGATCCACTGTCTGGGCAGAAATGAGGTCATCGTAATCTTTCCTTTGGTTTTATAGTCATTTTAGTTCCCATCAGATGAGTTAGGTATCCCAGAGCTTCTAAAATTCAATAAGTATTTCCACTTCCAACATCCATAAATGTAGCAATAATAAATGTTGAGTTTGTTTTGTAACGTTTTCACGCCTAAACCACTAAACCGATTTTAAAAATTCTTTCACTAATGGAAAGCTACATTATCAGCGAGTAACATTGGCTACAGTTTAGCGCAATAACCGACATACACGCGGGCGGAGCCGCGGGTAGAAGCTAGTATTTTACTGACTGACTAACTATGATAAGTATAGATTACAGAACTCTATAAATAAATCCTCTGCTAAAGTAAAAAGTCAAAATAAATAAAGAATAAAGACATTCAAGACAACAGTCAAAGAAAAAAAATGTGTCAACTGTCATGAGTCAAAGTGTGTTCAATCACTCACTATAAATTTTGGATCGCAATAATATAGGAACCAAAATTTGAGAGTAGTGATGTGGGCTCGTTTAAAGCGATTAGGAAATGCCATATGTAAGTTATTTGAATCTTAACACAAAGTGTCTCAATCACCTCTCGTTTCGTTTCATGAAGTAATCATCATCATCACATTAACAGCCTTTAGTAGTCTACTGGACATGGGCCTCTCCTTTATGAAGGAGTTTTGTTTCAAGTTTTCCTTCTCTTTACAGTGCTGTCATGCGTAGTTTGCTGCCTTAGTTGGCTCTTACGACACCCACGGGATGAATAGGGATCGCGACACTCCGCACACTTGTGAATAGTTGTGAAATACTATCACAATCAAACAGTTAAAAACCCAATGTGTACTACAGTAATTTAAAAGACAGACACGCTAGCGATGAAGAGATTTCTCTTAAAATATTACTTGCTCACCACAATTATCATAAACTATATGTGTCCGTGTGGTGACGGATTAAGAATACAGTGTCACCACCCCTATTCATCCCGTGGGTGTTGTAAGAGGCGACTAAGGGAGCACCACCAGCACGGCAAAGAGAAGGAAAACTTGACACAAACACTATACCAACCCGTCTGGCCAGCGTGGTATAGCAGGCCAAAACCTCCTTTCTAAGGAGAGGCCTATGTCCAGCAGTGGACTATTAAAGGCTCTTGATGGGATGTGATCTGACCGCAATACAGTTGATCTGTAATAACATTCTGGTAATACGATAGGGAGTCTAGACATGATAATAACTTGACACATCCCACAGATGCCCGCTCTGAAACTAGGCAGAGCCGGTATTTTGGTATCCAAACTGCAGATAAACATATTCAGAACAAATAAATTTAGGCATCTTGAATTCAGCAATACTCAGTTTTTAGTATACTAGTATCAAATACTAGAATTTAAAGTGGTGCACTGCTTACAAAATATAAGATAATTAATTTACCACTGTCATTGGATACCAAGATTGTCCAGAAGTTATCTATGGAGTGATAAGTACCAGAGTGGTATGCTATTTCAACAAGTAGAGACACACATTAAGCCTTCCTCCTTTGTGTCCATAACTTATCAGTGACTGAGCCTATTCTTAAGCTTTTTTTTAATTAGGGTTCCGTACCTCAAAAGGTAAAAAAGGAACCCTTATAAGATCACTTTCTTGTCCGTCTGTCCGTGTGTCACCACCGATTTTCTCAGGATCGGGTAGAGTTAGTAGTTGAAATTTATACCAGATACTGAGGTCTATGGTCCCTATTAGGTGTATAAAAATCAAGGTCCTGAGTCAACACGATAAAAAGATATGGGCAAATTTCGATTTTTGCGAAAACTTGTAAGTACCAAGATTTACCTTAATTTTCTACTTTTTTATTTTTAGAAATTTCTCGTGCTGTAAAAAAAACTACGTAAAATCTGGGTAGGTACGGAACCCTTGGCGCACGAGTTCGACTCGTACCTGACCGCTTTTTTATTTATTTCTAATTTGAACTTCTTTTTTAAAGATAAACCAAAAGAAAGAATACTCGCTGAAAAACTGGCAGAAGGGAAAATTCACATAGTGACTCTCCAAAAAAGTTTGATTGACGAAGAACTTCACGAGAAGAAATTAAAGGTGGCGCTGTTAAAAGAAGAAATGGAACACAAAAGGGTGTTGTTCAATTTGCAAAAACAAGAAATGATGCTCAAAATAGAAGAATACAAAGCTAATTTAGGAACTCTGAAAAAGGAACAACCCCAACTAGATTCGTCGGAGCAGAAATAAAATAAAAATAGATTAATCGTTACTTCTTTTTTGATAATCCTACCCTTCTTCTTTTTTATGGTGGGTATAAGGAGGCAAACGAGCAGACGGGTCAACTGATGGTGACTCCCGCACCCATTTTTTTTTTCCGTGCGGAAATCCCCTCGGATACCACCTGTCGGTGGCATGTCGGACTTGAACCGACTAAAACCGCACGCCGTCTCGGGCACTAATAGCCGGGGAACCAGGTATACCCTAGAAATGAAGTCCCTACCTCCCTACCCTAGATACTTGCAACTCAAGTCACGTGGGTTGCCGCCTACCCACCTACCTACCTAGCAACCCTAACCTACGTACGCAAACATCGAAAGATAAATCGTCCGATGTTTAAGTTATCGATCAAAAGGATGTGTATAAAACTATAGTAGGGGAGCCCTAGAAGTGATTTTGGGATTTGCTCGAGCTTGCCAGGTTAACAACAGCCTATAACAGTCCACGGCTGTACATAGGCCTCTCTTTAAAAAGGAGGTTTGTTTCAAGTTTGCCTTCTCTTTACAGTGCTGCTTGCTTGATCTTAACATAGGAGGAATACCTTACACCCAGTTTAGTACCTCTACCAAACATAAGCTCTACATATAGGGGGATCATCTATCGATATTTTTGAAAATCAGTATAGATAGTTCAACTCAGTTGTGCGCGCGGCCCTATGTGTGCGTGGGCTTGTAAATATACAACTTTCATTCGTGTGGCAGTGACGCGGCAGTCGTCATCCGAGCAGCACACGAATGAAAGTTGTATATTTACAAGCCCACGCACAAATAGGGCCGCGCGCACAACTGAGTTGAACTATCTATGAGTCTTTTCACCGCTGAAAGTGTAAACATCTTACAACTTTTATTCAATGTATCACCTGTTATTTCAAATGCAATATGTCCCCATAACGCTCAAGTAAATCCCCATTCAGCATCATGGTCTCCTCTACTAGTATTTGTCCTACACCAACAAATGAAGATTTAACAATGTTCCTATAACCAAATGCTTTTATTTTGGTACGAGGGCTGCTGTTTATATACGAATAAATTACGTGGTCAACATTTTTCGAGTCGTGAAGACGCTGTTGATGCGTTCAAAATGCACGTTTTGGAGATACCATAATCAGAATGAAAAAGTGCTACGATAAGTGGTCCTAACGTATGCGAAAGTGCATCGATCATCACGGCGAATATTTTAAAAAGCAATAAAACTATAATAAATGCTATATATTAATTACCTATGGTACCTCTTTACTGTCTATTTGTCCCTCCAAAGGTTGCCTGTAAGAGATTGCTTTTAGCGATAAGGCCGCCATTTGTACATGATCATTAACTTGGAATACTATTGTATGTATAATATACTGAATTGTTGTACAATAAAGATTATTCTATTCTATGTTTGTTTCACTTTGTTATTCCGGATACAATAATAGCAGCCCTCGTAATCACAGTACGAGTTTTTTTTTGTAGTGTTTATCTCATTTAAAAGGCAATAATACAGACAATTAAAATAAACAAATTTTAATTTATTGATATAATAACTAAAAAAAATATTTTACACAATACATTATAATTAGTATTTTACCACTAAGAATAATTATTTTTCATTAAACATATTAAAACGCGGACTAGCAAATAAAAGTTAACTAAAGTAGGTATACGAATCCTTTAAGTGTTAAAGGAATACACAATTATAAGGAGACAAGAGCTCGTTAAACCAATACGAGGGTTCTACGCAACATTCTGGGTTTCATTACGATTAGGCTTTTAAAACCCTTGATGACCATACGATCTGCTGTGACTCTCCGTGTTAAGTATATTTATAGTTCATAGGTTAAAATATGGCAGTCCATTCCAATAATACGATGTAAAAGTGAGAAAAATTGGTCTGAAATAATATGAGCCATCAAAACTATCCATTAAATATCATACATATTATATATAACGCTATTTTATATTTATCGTATATTGATTCTGAAAAGAAGCTATTACAGTAGAAAACAATTTTTATATTATTATTTTAAAAAAGAGTCTTATCCTAGGCGTAAAACTAGCAGACCAGAGCTAATTAGATTACATTCTATATACTTGTCCAACGTTGGCTGTACGTGCTTGATTCCTGTGCCTCTCGTACTGAGCCCGCCAACTCACCAGCGGCCATTTTGTGCTACCGTTGGACAAATAGATTTCATAATGCAAAATTACCTTACTTAGGTATAGACAAATGCATGCGTGAACATATATAATTGAATATTCTCAAAACGTGTTTAATTAACTTAATTATACACACACGAAATGGTTATATTGATACAGAACAGCAGAGCAACTTGATTGATATGCCATTTATATTTTTTAAATTAAATACATCATCCTTTTGTCTTTAGAGCTTTTATTAAAATTTCATTTGGATCGTTTTTATAGTTTTCGCCGCCTTTGTGCAATATAAATATTATGATAATTGAGCACGATAAACTATAGAAATGAAAATTTTGTTTTTATTTCTGTGTTTCCAACTATACTTATGCGAAAGCATAAACATACAATTAGCTCTCAAAGTCGTCAAGTCTGACCACGTCTGCTTAAATACAAACATCTACATTAAAACCTATCTAAGGACAAAAAGGCTTATTTTAACAAAAAATAAAATAAAAAAAAAACGATAGCGCGACAACCATTCATAGATTGTTTAATTAAAAAGCCGACAAACAATAATCATAAAATATTTTGTGCTTAAAATCCCAACAAATACTGCAACGAATATAAACTAGTGTTACCACCAAAGATGTTGGCATCGAATTTTGCAACTTGCAACACAGAATGTTCCAGTTACAAATGCCTATTTTTATTCATGTATATTATCCTTAAATACCTATAGCTAGCTTACGTCTAGTAAAATGAACTTATGGGACGATGATTTGTTCTTAATGCGTCCAACGTTTATATGTGTTTTACTTCCAAAGGATTATACATAGATTATGGTCTGTGTTATATAAATTTTGCACAAAACATTAAACATGGTAACCCTTACATAACATTAAAAACGCTACAATTTATGATTACTTTTAAATTAACCGTTATGATTCAAAGATTCACGTTGAAAAGTTTCAAAACGTACCTATTGAAGACGGACTAAGTACTATATTTTGAGAAATCTAAAACATATTTAGGTTACATGACACGTAACGACGCTATGGTAAATACGAACAAGTGATTACACATTCCATAACGTATTTTCATATAATGTAAGCTTAACATGTTATTAATTTACCCAAGTTACACGTGGTTCTCGATACACCACATCTCTGTTATAGATGTTGAAATAAAACCAGAGATGGTTTGTATATTATTTTGAGACTAATGCTATATTCATAATGAAAGCTGTATAAACATATAAAATAGTGCGTAATGAAAATGATGCTTATATCTTGTTTGCGCGAGAACTAACAATAATTTTATCGTACATCTGACTGTGTGAGTGACAGTCAGACAGACAGTGAGCCTCGCGTGAATGTCACTTATTATTGAGGACGTTAAGAACTGAAAAGTCCGTGTTTTCAAGTGCCTCGATTACACGACAAGCTGATTTCGATGTAGATTAAAATCCAACAGAATTCTCCCACTTCACATCGCTACGAATTTCTAAAAGAATTCCAAACACTGCCAAGATTATGACTCTCCTTTAGCGAGTGTCTTTCTGTTACATGGGGACAATGTTAGCCGCACTTAGTATAGTCACAGCACTGTAATTCTCGCACCAACAAGAATCACTGATGACCCTTATATTTATTACTTTGTGTAGTATCCACATTTACATTTTTAAGAATATAACTCACCGTATCTCATGAGAAAACAAGCTTTTTATTTAGCATAATAATGGTTTATGGCCGAGATAAGAAACTATCTAAAACATTGTAGCTGAGGCTGCCGTTAATTCTGTAATTCCTTTTACTTTCCATGTTATTTATTTAGAAAATATTTATACACAAACAAAACTCGTAACAACATGTAACATATTTTGGGTACAATAAACCGTTTGTAAATAGTAATCTTTATTGAAATTTCTGTATTGACAATTACCTGTTTCGACGTCTTTACAAACATATACATAAACAGACACGAAATACCATCCAGACATTGCATTGACATTAGTATTGGCCGAAGTCACGGTCCTGACGTAGTGGCATATGATTTAAATCAGTATGTATAAATATAAAACGCCACTTATCATTGTAAATGCAATTAAACAAATGTACAACACTTATAAAAAGCCCAAGAAGTCCCCATGAAATTCATAAATTCAAATTTTATAGCAGTTTTTTTGAAATTATGGTTTAGATAGATTATTGATATCGACCAAAAACCGCATCACTACGCCAACAAATAGGAATGGAGTAATAAAATGCATCCATAATATCCGATATAGTGCACACACGCGCTTAAAATCATCCATTTTAAATTCGAGTTGTGTGGAATCATCTATTGGAGTGTTACATATTATTGACACATAATTACGTATATTTAGGACGTTAACGCGATCACGTATGTAATAACATACGTTAGAATTTCTACCCGACGTTTCGAACAGGTTGCACTGGAAGTGACAAGTTGACAGGTGTCGTGATAACGTTAATTCTCTTATAATATACATAATTATATATTATAGAAAGTTGGCCGCTGTATATTCTAGAAGTGGTTAGTTTGACTACCTATTAGTTTCAACCGTTACGACTGTGACTTGTAAAAAATACCACCTGGAAGTTGTCTCCATGGTAACGCGAAATACAACCTTGAATGACACATTTACACTAATCTCTTTATTGTTCAACCCTAAACCCACCCTAACAGATATACAGTTATGAAAAAAATACAGCTCAAACCACAAAAACAAAGGTAATGACAATCGTAACACTCCAAAGAAGTATATTTTGTATTGAAAATGCGCAGTAAGGGATAATGATACAAAATTATTAAGGATATACATAAATTATATTGCATGTCAAGTATAAACCATTGTACGCTTAAAGCCTATATGTATTAATTAAATCTCAATTACAATTCGTGAATGTCAAATTAAGACGTTTACACACGTACAGCGCGTGACCCAAACAATCAAACCTCGTGCGCAATCGAGCAGCATAATATCGACAAGTTCGTGTGAAAACGCCTTTATGGTGGTACAAAAAAAAAACAATTTCGTCATACGAGATCATTAATCTCTTAAAACAAACGGGTGTGTTGACTTATCTTAACATATAGTTAAATATATAATTGATAGGAATACAGTTACTTCAGCGAAAGTTAATAAGTATTATGAAATTCATTGAAAGCAATGCGAGAAACATGAAGAGTTACAAAAACGATAGTTATCGCTAAAAGCACGAGTCTTGTGGTACAGGGGATCCCGTTCAACTCGTTAACAGTTGATTTTTATATTACCAAATTCATAAAAAGTTGTAAATTGGTTTTAAAAACTATCGCTGAAGAAACTATTTAAAGGAGAAACCGAAATTATAATTCTCAATTAATAAATTACGCATAGATACATTTATAATTAATATTTGGTTCTTTAATTATAGTTTTTTTTAGCGTTGTACGACGGTTGTGCGACGTCGACACCTGAAATGTTAGAATACCGTTGTTACAATATTGAATAACATGCCAACTATACATAAATAATAATTAAGGAAATAATATATTAATTGATCATTGTGGTTGTGGAATATTTCAATATCGTACGAACTAAGTCAAAATATGGCACATTTAAAAAGCATATGTAAAGATTTGAATTTGTACATGGTTTTGTAATTTATAATTCTCTTAGTAACACTCAAAGATAAATATATTTTTATTCTGTCTTGGTAGGAAAATTTTATGGTCACTAAATTAAATATTTAAAGAATTGATGTTGGACTTTTTTCAAGTTAAGAATTAAGTAACCATTTTCTTCATATTCCATGCTGATCGTGCTTCGGTTTAAAAGAAATAAAATTATAATGCACCGTAAACAATTAGTTCTAAGAATTTTGCTGCAACCCCTACATAAATATAATTTGTATTCTCTTGCTACTCTTAAATTTATTAAAGATACAGTTTTACTAAATTGTATGTAGTTTCAGACACCATAAGGGCCATGTTTCAAGGTGTAAAGAGCCCTGCCGTGAACCGTCACAATGAATTTATCCAGACTCCAGTCGAGCTTTTTACTTTTTTTAACCGTTTGTTTATCTAAACATCTTTAAGAAATATTTTTTTTTAAAAGACATTTCCCGCACTAGGAGTATACTCCTATGTAACTCCTGTGTAACGGGCGACGTTACATACATTCATGAAACGAACACAAAAAACACCCAGACTCAGAACAACAATTTGTGGATCACAGTGCTGTCCCATTTGGGGCTCGAACCCACAACCGCCGCCGCAAGTGACCGCTTTAACCACTACGCCATCCACGCAGTCAAGTCAACGGACCTCCTACACACTACGACCAATAACGAAGATATTTACACGAACCGGTAAACATACTTACCAATAAAAAGAAAATGATTCCGGCAGCCTTCGACCCCCATGGGAAAAAAGGTCCTCAGCGTCTAACTTTAAACCATTAACCATTACATTATACAATATATAATTATATAACTGTTACATGAACAATGGATCGATGCAGGGGCTCACACACAAACAAATACACGCACTCAATAAACATACACATACATACATACAAATGTAAACTACATACCTCCCTAAAAGTTGTTTAAATGCTTTCATTAAATATTGATAGAAATTATAATTAAATAAATAAAGCAAGTTTTTTGTGCAGGAATTCCCCCGGCGGCTTTTGTGCTGCATCGTATAAACACGACGTTATTATGATACCATTTCGCTATACAAATGCGTTACTTCTCCAAACCTCACACCATGAGATAATCATTTTCATATACATTCTACAACCATACCAGGAATGGTTACTGATAAAATATTAAAATTAATTGTGCCTATATTCGCTCTAAACCTCCTCAATAATTTCGACATTCAACGCGAAGTTTCTTAGGTCGGTCGGATTACCTTCGTATGATAATATTTTCTTAGTAACATTTCTAAGTACAATTATTTGCAAGTTTTCATGTAGGTTATGCCTTTCATTACTATGATCGTTATAGCCGCCGATAACTTTGCTCAAATTTCATCAAACTACCATACAAGTGGTACCCAATAACAGAAAATGGGGACCGTCGTTGATATTAGCATATACGTACATCGCGTTTTATTACAAAACTAGAAACGGTCGTCACATAGATCTATTGTGCATCAGTGAGAGGGTTCGTGGTTAAGGGAGGGTTGTGTGTGTTTTGTAGGGGGTGGAAGTGGTGGGCTTAGTTCCAGATGCGCAGGAAAGAGTCCCAGGAGCCTGTGGCAACCGCCATGCCGTTCTCGGTCACGCCCAGACAGGACACGCGGTTGTCGTGGCCAGCCAGTATGCCTGTGAGATGGAAAGATACAAAACATGATTATAAATACATTTAAGTAATATAGATAATTTAGGAGGACAATAACCTATCATTCTACAATTAAAAACTTGTTAAAATCACTATTTTATGTACTTACAATCAATGCAAATAAAATATACATAAGTATAAAAAATGATGACATTACTGTAAGTGAGTAGACATATTATAATTTGATTGACAAGAAAATTATTTAAGATTTAATCTCTTCAATATCCTATGAATTCACTTTGTGAGTGAGCTCAGCTTCTAGGTCTATGTTACATATATTATATCTCTTGAATCTCGCCTTTGGTCACTTTTTCTTTTAAGCAATCAATTCACACCTCTCTAGGGAAAAGTAGCACGTCCTCTGTTTTTGGTACAGGGACCCTATGTTCACAGAATTTCATGGTATGTGTTAAGAAGTTATAAACAAGACTCCATAGTGTTATAAACAAACACTTATTTACTAGTATTTATAACGTAAATCAGGATTAAGTAACAGGGGAAAGGTCGTTTTTTTTATGGAAGAGGGGCAAACGTGCTGACGGGTCACCTCATAGAAAGCGATTACTTCCCATGAACGTCTGCAACTCAGGAGTCACAAGCGTTGCCGGCCTTTGAGGAAGGACTACGCTCTTTTGAAGGTTTGGAGGTCGTATCGGTCCGGAAATACAGCAGACGACAACTTTAGACGTTTGGAAGTAGTCGACCAATGCAACATTCTGAATGAAGGCCAGGTCTAATACAGATCTTATATCAGTAATGGTACCTGTAATGCAAAGATGGAAGACAGTGGCTATTTTTCTCTGTCTATATAAGGTATAAAGGTCATACCGGCACGTTCACTCTTCATGGAGTCCCAGACATTACAGTTGAAGTCGTCATAGCCGGCGAGCAGCAGGCGGCCCGACTTGCTGAAGGCGACAGACGTGATGCCGCAGATGATGTTGTCGTGCGAGTACATCGCCAGCTCCTGGTCGGCGCGGATGTCGAACATGCGGCACGTCGCGTCGTCCGAACCCGTCGCGAACGCAAACCCGGATGGGAAGAACTGCAATGACACCGTTTGGATTAATTCTCTTTGTTTTTATTTTACATATCCTACTAGTAGTTATTACATATTATTATAAGTTAAAGTACTACCTGTAACGGTCAAACATGTTGATCAGGCAATATTATTTAACATTTTTAATGTACACATTTTTATGCAAATAAAATATCTTGTATCACGGCCGTCTGATCCCAAACTAGACAGAACCTTTGCTATGGTGACCAGACTGCTGATAAACATACTTATATATTTCTATATACATACTCTTTACATAGTATAAAATAATATAATATATATATTAATATATTCTACCACATTCACACAACGCCATCTAGTCCCAAACTAAGCAGAGCTTGTACTATGGGTACTAGACAACTGATATAAATACATATATACTTTTTTTTTGTAAATACATACATATTATACATAGAAACACCCAGACCAAATCAAACATCAAATGTTCATGCACACAAATGTTTGACTTGAGCGGGAATCGAACCCGCGACCTTTGGAATAGCAGTCCGTTACACAAACCACTACGCCATCCAGTCGTCAATAAAATAAAATAAAGTCGCTTTTATTGCGTTGTACGCTTAGATCTTTTATAAAACGTAAATATTTTGATATTGACAGTCTAAGTTAACATACCTAATTGGTACTAATATTTTGAAGCCAAAATCATTTCATGATTGCATGTAGATTAAATTTCAGAATTGAACTGATCTGGTACTTTCAGAGTTGATTATTTAGATTTGATAAAACATTATTATGGTCAGTGGATGGGTTAGTTAGAGCACGTTAAGCCTGGGGTCCCGGTTGCCATCCGAACATCTGTGCAATCGTTCCGGGAGCCCTTCGACAAGTCTTTCTAGAGAACTTCGATAACGCCTAGTACTTGTGTTGTGGAGGTCTGATGGTGCTCTGCGTAGGAAATCTAAGTACAGCCACATCGTAGAAGACTTAAAGTCGACCCCAACTTGGCTTGGGAAAAAAGGCTCAGAGAAAAGAAATTATTAGTATAATGTAAGTAATTTTTACTATTTTGAGTTTGCTTTTACAGAGAAAGACAAGTAGCAAGTAACTAAGGGTTTAGCAAGTGATATACTCACAGTGACAGCGTTGATATCACTCTCGTGTCCCGGGAAGGTCTGCTTGCACTGGCAGTCGCGGATGTCCCACAGCTTGGCGGAGGCGTCGCAGGCGCCCGACACGAAGGTGCGCTGGTCGGGGGCCAGCGACAGCGACATGACGTCACCCGTGTGGCCCGTGAACTGGCCGCACTGCTGGCCCGTCTCGATGTCCCACAGGGCGCTGGAACCACACACCGACGTATTAAAAAACCACGCCATAAGTATGCATACAAATGTGATCAAACTAGCTATAATAATAATAATAATTTATTTATTTGACCAATATAAATATTACAGTGTAGGACATTTCAGTTTGACATAGATCTTAGACAATAATTAGACTAAGTTACACTATTAGCGTAAATCTATAATAGTGTTATTTTATGATTAGATTTCATAAAGATATTACGATTCTGTTTAAAAACTGTAGTCGCTGCCTTGCTGCTTGAATACTAATATTAAATAAAAAGGGAAAGACACAGTCACATCTAAAAATGAAGCTTTCAACTATTTTTTGTATTAACTTTTTCGTTTCATGACGTATAATGTTTATACATGGAAATAACTGCGATTACGTAAAAAGTTATTTGAAATGTCTGATGTATGAATCAGGTTGCAATGGCCTGTCTGACAATCAGCTGAACCTTTCAACACTGCTATCGCGTAATTTCTCGTGGATCAATATTTTATATGTCTTTTTACTGCTACACTGGAAACTTTATAATAATAACTCTTCCACTTTCGACTGATTCATAGCTTTTTTATAGCTATTTTCATATCGATATTATAAATAGTTTTATTGGTTATGTGTATGTCTCCTTACCATGACATATCGCCGGAGCTGGTGAGGATCTGGTTATCGTCAAGGAAACGGCAGCATGACAGGTAACCCGAGTGGCCGGGCAGCTCGCGAGACACGCGCACATTACCCTCGCGAGTCTTCAGGCTGAAACATACACATACTTGTTAGAAATATATTGTAGCTACTTGCTATATGCCAGAGACGCATATGGTAGAGATAAGTAAGCATCGTGAAGAAGGGAGTCATTTACGCAAGTAGATGGCCCGAGGTACGTCGTGGTATCAGGGTTTTCTTTCCTAGGGTACACCTGGTTCCCCGGCAACTGGTACCCGAGACGGCGTGCAGTTTTTGGTCGATTCGAGTCCGACATAACTACCGGTGGGTGGTATCCGAGGGGATTTCCGCACAGAAAAAAAAAGGGAAGTATCGTGAGTAGTTCAAAATGAGTCCCATAAGTATGCCTGCGGACTGTGACGATTATAAAGGCTAAGGATGGCTTTTACAAAGACGGTGGCACCCAAGAAACACTTTTTAGGTAAACAATCAGGTTAGTAGGTGTATTATATATGTATAGGTATATAGACTCGTGGCTAAGTGGGAACCAAGGAGGTTAGCACATTGCAAAGTCAGGTCAGTTTATGGCTGGTTATGGCAAGTGGATCAGTAACCATTCTCCGTGTCTCGGAGAGCACGTTAAGCCTCTTATACGATTACGTATGTATACGAAGGTTGTGGCATTTCATTTGAAGAAATCCGACAATAGTCTATCTACAGAACTTCGATAGCGTTTAGTACTTAGGGCGTGGAGGTCTGATAGCAACCTTATATGGCTAAAAAAAAAATTTAAGGATGGGTCACCCTTACCATTTAGGGGTATGAAAAATAGATGTTGGCCGATTCTCAGACCTACCCGATGTGCACACAAAATTTCATGAGAATCGGTCAAGCCGATTCGGAGGAGTACGGGAACGAACATTGTGACACGAGAATTGTATATATAAGATAAAGGCTAGGACGATAAGGTATCCCAGGCCTCGGATAGCCGCACTCACTCTGAGAAAAACAACATAAGACTATTTTTTTTACTATAATTGGCCTTAAAACTTTTGACATCATCTCTATGCGAGAACAAGCCCTAGGGACCATTGATGTACCTTTATTTACGTATTAGCTGAGACCCGCGGTGTTACCCGCGTTTGTTGTTATAACCGCGGGCAACGCCGCGGGGCGAAGCTAGTCTAAAAAAGTAGCCTAAGTTACTCCTTATGTCATCAGCTATCTGCTAGTGAGAGTCCCGTCGAAATCGGTCCAGAGATTACCCGGAACAAACAGACAGACAGACAAAAATTGTAAAAAATGTTATTTTGGCATATGTACCGTGTAAACATACATATGCATTTTAGCCGACATTAAAAAGAGGAGGAGGCTTCTTAATTCGGGTGCCCGAACGCCGCCATTTTTACTTTTTACTTTACATTAAACTGACACCCGATACCGCAAGCAGGACATTTATGTAGTCCGTGGAAACACTCACAAAACCACTAGAAAGTTACTAAATTGGAACTAACATTACACTGGTGTGGACACCGGACAAGAGTCATAAGACCTTTGCCGGCCCTAAATTAAGGAGCTGTTTTAAGCCTCCGGTAACCTCATTCACCTGATGAAATGCAACAAAAGAGGGCTTAACACCGATTTTCTGTGATGCCTTGGTATCACACAGGTCGAGCCAGCCTATTTATGGTCAGTTAACTGCAGTTAGCAGTACATTTAACACACCATATATAGTAATGTCCGTATGGTGACGGATTAAGAATACGAAGGGTTACTACTCTTATTTATCCCGTGGGTGTCGTAAGAGCCGACTAAGGTACCAACCCGTCTGGCCAGCGTGGTGTAGTGAGCCAAAGCCTCCTTTCCAATGAGAGGCCTATGTCCAGCAGTGGACTATTAAAAGTTGTTGATGTGATGTGATGTCCGTGTAGTGACGGATTAAGAATACGGAATGTCACTACCCCAATTCATCCCGTGGGTGTCGTAAGAGCCGACTAAGGGCGCAAAACAACGCAGGACACCAGCACTGCAAAAAGAAGGAAAACTTGACACAAACCCTATACCAATCCGCCTGGCCAGCGTGGTATAGTAGGCCAAAACCTTCTTTCTAAGGAGAGGCCTATGTCCAGCAGTGGACTATTAAAGGCTGTTGATGTGCTGTGATGTGTGATGTGATGTGTGACGTGATTTGATAAGCCTTACTGATTGTATCAACTCACCTGTAGATAGAGCAAATGTTATCTAGACCACCGCAGGCGACATAAGAGCCAGAGGGTGCGTATGCGCAAGTCATGACCCAGGACGAGCGCAGTGGTATCGCGTGCACCTTGTTCGTCGTGTGACTGTCCCACACTATGAGCTTGCCGTCCTGACTGGCAGACACCAGATTCCTGTGGGACAAAAACAATTATATAAAACACAGTAAATGCTCAATCTTTTTACTATTTTTGGTCTTTTGTAGAGAACTTTTGAGTCTTCAGAATATTTACAACAGTATAAAATGTGCGCTTTTTTTCACTCGATAGAATTTGTATTTTATGCATACACTAAGATTAAACAAAATTAAGTTTGCAGTATCCGGTGTTGTTACATTTTTTTATGGATTTGGGGGGTTAAACGAGCAGACAGTACAGTCCTTATTACAGTCTTTTGCACACCTGTCAGTCCTCTTATCTATTAGAATCTTGGCCTATTATTCTTTGTTTGTATGCGTTAGTCAAAAACAGACAAACAAAATGACAATAACAAAAAATCTGGTCTTCAACATTTTCAATCGATTTGGATCAAGACATTTTTTTATTTTTTTTACTTTTTTTTGTAAATAATTAAGTAATAATTGTTTTGATGAATTAAGGTTTTAAACGTTAATTATGATTGTTCCTTATCTGTACTTATCTATAACTTAAATGTAATTTATTTGTTATTATGATTCTTTGTTAAAAGCGCTACGCTTTATTAATGTTCTATATTAAACTCTTTGTACTTTTGGTGTCAATCGTATTATACCTCCAAGGACTGTTAAACAAACTAGCATTGTGATTACAAGTACTGCACGCATGGCGTAGTGGTTTAAGCGGTCGCCACGCCGCTTTCTATTGCGCCGAGTGTTGTGGGTTCAAACCCCACATGGGATAACACTTTGTGTGATCCACAAATTGTTGTTCTGAGTCTGGGTGTACTTTGTGTCCGTTTCATGTATGTTTGTAAAGTCCCCCGCGACACAGCATTTATTCCTAGTGCGGGAGTGGTCTTTTTAAAATTATAATTATAAAAAAGTATAGTTTTGAATGCCGCCTTATAGGTAGGTAAATGTATATTTTAGGGCGCCGTGACACTTCTATGGTTTATATACGATTCATTCATATTCCAGGCTTTTCTCTTCAAAAAAAAACCTGGAAACTGTTGGAGTAGGCCTATACCCGCCAGGGGCCTTAACTTTACTAATTATAAACATTATTAAGTGTAAACATTTTTTTTTAGTTAAACGTAGTTATTTAAAACCCTGTAAGTTAAGGAAAATAAAGACACCAATTAAATATCTAGTAGAGATAAACTATTTAGTTTTTGTAGAGTGTAATAATTTAATAATTAAATATAATATTTATTACCTAATTAGTGATAATAATGATTTAGTACACACATCTGACTCATTTAGTGTGTTATTTTATTTTGAAGGATATCACATTAAGCATTGGGTTCAATATGCTTTCACAGTATATTAAGTATTGACCTGTGTTATCGGCATGAAAAGTGGGTAATGAATGATTTAAGAGTGACGTTAAAATTATTAAATTGTTTATATTTTTATTTAAACGAAGATGAAATATTGTTTGTTATTTATATATGAGGAGAGCGACAGAAATTAACATAACAAACGTTTCCATATTGCGTCAGTGAAGTTCTAACGGTACGTTATTTACGCGGAATAATCGTTTTCACTGAAGGTTATGCATTTTTTTTTAATTCTTCAATGAAGATGGAACTGTCTGTCTTTATTGAATAATATTATTTAACTAGCTGAGACCCGCGGTGTTACCCGCGTTTGTTGTTATAACCGCGGGCAACGCCGCGGGGCGAAGCTAGTCTAAAAAAAGTAGCCTAAGTTACTCATCAGCTATCTGCCAGTGAAAGTCCCGTCGAGATCAGTCCAGCCGTTCCAGAGATTACCCGGAACAAACAGACAGACAGATAGACAAAAATTGAAAAAAATGTTATTTTGGCATAATATATGTACCGTGTAAACATACATATGCATTTAGTAAAAAGCGGTTATTTTAATATTACAAACAGACATTCCAATTTTATTTATTTGTAAAGATGTATAGATATAAGTTGGAGCTATTTCTTATGGGTCTTTGGGTAAAAGTGTAAAGATACCTCTGGATGATTTTATCTTACGCTATGTTGATCATAGGTTTACTTTCACAGTTTCAGACATATTGATAAATGCGACGCCATTGGATCTGATTAATCGAATTAATCGAAAAGTTTTATAAGCACAGCGTAACTGAGACTTTTTGAAGATTCCAAACGTCAAAATTAAGTTTGATACCTATCAAACAATTTCAAGGACCTTTTCATCTATACCTCAATATCTTATTTTTAAAAGATTCTAATAGAAACTACAGATAATATAACTCTAGATCAAGAAACATCATAAACATCTAATTATGAGGTTTTATTTAAAAAAAAAACTCCTTTCTCTTTTAATATAGGAAGGCAAACGAGTACAGGCCCAGGGGTCTCCTGATGTTGTTGTAGATGGCCCGAGGTATGTCGGGGCACCAGGGACTTCCTTTCTACGGTATACCTGGTTCCCCGGCTATTAGTACCCGAGACGGCGTGCGGTTTTAGTCGGTTCGAGTCCGACATGCCACCGACAGGTGGTAACCGAGGGGATTTCCGCACGGAAAAAAAAACCTCCGTTTGAGGTCTCCTGATGGTGTATGATTACAAATGCCATTAACAGCTGTAACTCAAGTCACAAGTGCGTCATTGACCATTTAATATTTATTGCTATTAAGAACCACATCAATTATAAGTTTGGGTTTAATATAGATTCAATAATAGGCTTATTATTAAACTTTGACTGATTCAAAGTAATTAGTAAGCGATTACATCGACAAGCTGTCTAAATCAAACGTATATAAATACGATACGGAAACAAAAAAGAACGATAATTATTCCGCTTTTATTATTTTTGGCGGCTTCTGGTCGTAGGTTGCGCAGTGAGCTAATTATGACTCGATGCTCTAAATATTAATTTTTATTTATAAAATTTTCATCTAAACCTTTGTAACTTTGTTCTTGTTGACCTATGATGGTCAATGAGGACTTTCTGAAGATGATATCTTCGTAATAATGTCGTGATCTTCTAGATCACGACTTTATTACATGACTGCACGGATGGCGTAGTGGTTTAAGCGGTCGCCACGCCGCTTACTACTAAGCCGCCGAGTGTTGTGAGTCCGATTCCCACATGGGACGACACTTTGTGTGATCCACGAATTGTTGTTCTGAGTCTGGGGGTCTTTGTTCATGTATGTTTGTAACAACAAACGCGGTGTTACCCGCGTTTGTTGTTATAACCGCGGGCAACGCCGCGGGGCAAAGCTAGTCTAAAAAAAGTAGCCTAAGTTACTCCTTATGTCATCAGCTATCTGCCAGTGAAAGTCCCGTCGAAATTGGTCCAGCCGTTCCAGAGATTACCCGGAACAAACAGACAGACAGACAGACAAAAGAAGCAATGAAGAGAAAACAAGATAAAGAAAAAATATGGGAGTAACTCTTTTCTAAAATAGATATAGCTACTGTAATTAGGTAAAGGCCGTTGAACGGTGTACTCTCCTCAGCCAATCTATACTAATATTATAAAGTTGAAGATTTTGTTTGTTTGCTTGAACGCGCTAATCTCAGGCACTACTGGTCCGATTAGAAAATTTTTTTCAGTGTTAGATAGCCCATTTATCAAGGAATGCTATAGGCTATATATCATCAGGCTAAGACCAATAGGAGCGGAGCACCAATGAAGAATGTTTTAAAATCGGGAGTTCTTTTTTCCTTTTGAGAGCTTCCGCTGCGTAAACGGAAATAGCTCCTTAACGTGCGAATTATTTTTAAAATAGTTTCACCTTCTACGTAAACGAAGTAACTATTCCACGCCGGCAGAAGTCGCGGGCAGAAGCTAGTTTAAGATATCGAAGGTCAAACTTATTATTTTATAAATCTAGAGGAACTTAACTCATATTTTATGAAAAAAATAGTTTTGGTTAGTAGGTTCGCTCTAGTGAAGATTACTATTATTTATTTTTTGCATTATGTTTACGGGAATTAACGCGCCCACAATAGGTATTAACTACATATCTTTGAAATGCCAGACGTTTTGACCAGGGCTTCAGTTCCGCTTTTTAATATTGTATCAATACTGTCGATGGAATGTCGTCGGAATATTTTAGCATTTTTCATATTCTACTAATAAATACGATATTTTAAACCTATGTCAATGACATATCAATAGCGTAAAGAATGACAGTGGCTTGTACGTTGACATAAAATTGCAGAATTGAGGCTCAAATTGCACTGACCGTGGTCACGGGCTGGCTATGCTAGGCACCTTTTAAAGGTATGAACTTAATACCTACGTTAAGTTATTATATAGTACAGTTAAGTTATTATATATTATGGAACGCGATAGATGTAAAGTTGGTATCATGAAAAAAGGTGTGAATATCCATATCTGTACAAGCATTTTCTTTTCTGTGCATACAAAGTTTTATATCAATTAGTCGAGTAATTAATGCGTGAAAAGATAACAAACAAACCTATAAATATGTACTGTTAGGAGTATGATGATTACCTGGAGTCACTGCCCCAATGCATCGCATAGATCTTAGCCAAGTGACCGCGCAGCGTACGTCGCGTGCGCATCTGTATGCGGCCGATCGGCTCCAGGTTCGCCGTGGCTTGCGAAAGCGACGTGTCGCATGCCGCCTTCCTTGCATCCTATAAACGTACACCATCATTAGAAATTTGAGAAACCAATACATAGTAATGTGAGACTTACGACCGAATAATAAATCTTAACATCACACTGACGGATGTTTGGGTATTTTGCTGTTGCAGAAGGACAAGATTTAAGTAATTGAGATACACATTAGCAAAATTTTGGGACCCACGATCTCTGGCTGATCAGTCAGAGTCACTAACCATCAGACCAATAAGCCAGTCACATAGAACTCTTTTCAATACCTCCAGGACTGGACTGGACTTCTGGAGGATGTAACCATCAATCACTTGATGTCAATAATGCCCTTATGACTGCAATTTTCTAAGTTCTTACTATAAAAGACGATAGTTAATTTTCAGTTGTTTGAACTTTGTGCCAAGAGAGCGCTTACCCGAATAGCATTTTTAAGAGTCTCAGCCTCCTGACGCAGGCTGTCTAATTCGTTCATGTTGCTGTTATCACAACTATTTACTTTGTACCGACCGCTTGACGACCGCGCCGCGTTCTATGTCCACGCAACGCACCGACCTGCAAACAAAATTTTATGATAATTTATACATGTCATGTAATTGCCTACAATTTTAGACTTCGATGTTTATTTTTAAATGTAATGTATGTGTGGTAACAGATTAAGAATACGGAGTGCCGCTTTTCATTCCGTGGGTGTCGTAAGGGAGCAAACTCTGCAGAACAACTGCGCTGCAAAGAGAAGGAAAACTTAAAACAAACTCTATACCAACCCGTTTAAGTATATATATAAGTCATATCTAAGGAGATCAGCGGACTATCAAAGTCTGATAATTGTATACGTACATATTTACCGTTGGGACAAAATAGTAGATTGGTTTCGCTGATGTTACTTATTCATTTCACTTACGCCTACATCCCTAAAGGGGTAAACAAAGCAACTTAAAAAGTAATGGGCAAACCCGTTGCCCTCCACCAGGCACTCTAAGAATCAGATCTGATAATTGTGAGTATATTGAAAGAAAGAAAAGTATATTCGGGAAGCTACAATAGATCGAACAGGTCAGAGTCGCGTACCTTCAACTACAAGTGGCTCTTGCCGAAAAGTCCGAGCCCTTATAATTCCTTAAACTTAACAATAAAACAAATTCCATATCTATTTTTCAAATTACTTAAATCATATAAGATACCCGGTAGATAAAAGTATTTTATTGAAGACGATGCTATTGTATTCCACAACCGTACAGTCACAACGCTAAGCACATAGTCGCATAATGCGGTAGAATAAGAACCTGGTCGTAGAGTAACTCTTTTAGCTTTAAACAGGGTTGGCATGGCGCCAGTGATAATATCCCATTCTTACTTACCATCAGTCAGGGCCAATGCTTTAAAGGCTATAAAAAGTATCAGTACCCCTTGGAAATAGTCTTCTGGTAGAACTGTTAAAATATTGATACAATCGATGCAATCATGCTTTCTTGTAAATAGCTGCCAACACAGTACTGCTAAGAAAACAGTTCGGTTTTGCCGGCTAAATAAAGTTTATGGCTTCATTAGAAAAGTGGCAGTTTTGGCACGCGATCTACCAGACATATTACTGTTTGGAGTTTGTAAAATCTTTTATTTTATGAAGTCCAAGTTGTTCTACTGGAGTTATAATTGTTTTTAAGTTTTTTTGGAGATAAGGTTTTTAATTGAGAAGTTTTAAAGACTTGTATATGGATGGTGGACTTTGATTAGATAGGTTTTGATTCGTTTTTAAATATACAAGTATTACAGTAGAAAACGCACGGTAATATTTGTATTTAACAATAAATTTTATATTGTTATTTAGTATGACTTATTTATTAATAATTATACAAGTACGGTGTTGGTTCATGCTAACCTTCGCGGCAGGACACTTCACTCCTTGATAAAAATCCACGTCAGGTCCGTAGGGGCATCTGGTGGACATCCCCGAAATACACACGTGAGTTAACCCGTATCTTTATTAAATTTCAACCATCTTGTTTATCGATGTTTTTATTACAACCACAGTGCAACGGTATCGTCGGCGAAATAAAAAGTGTTGTCTATTATAGAATCTATGAAGGACTACCTATCTATATGATTGAGTCATTACTTGTTGTCATTATTTTGAGGCCATTGTCCTGTGTTAGGCGTATGTTTTATGATGTAATTACTTTGAAATCAAGAGAAGCTTTGGAATTCTATTGACATAACTAACTTTAAGAAATTCAGAGTTGGCAATGTTGTTATTTTTATTATTATTTAGTTCAGACACTTGATCCATATCTTAAGTATAATATTCATACAATATTTCTTAAGTATAATATTCATACAATTATTGAGTAAACAGGTAAAAAATATAATTATCTTATTGATTACAGTATTATCAGGACAGATTACAGTTTCTACCCATCGTCTAAATGTTGAGGTATGAATAACATCAATCAGATTGACATGACAATCAGATTATCGCATGTTAGTCTGCTAGGGAAGATCGTAAGCCTGTCACTTGTGTCATACATACATTGTAGACAAAGATGAGAGAGAGTGAGAGAGAGAGAGATGAGAGAGAGTGAGAGAGAGAGAGAGAGAGAGAGAGAGAGAGAGAGAGAGAGAGAGAGAGAGAGAGAGAGAGAGAGAGAGAGAGAGAGAGAGAGAGAGAGAGAGAGAGAGAGAGAGAGAGAGAGAGAGAGAGAGAGAGAGAGAGAGAGAGAGAGAGAGAGAGAGAGAGAGAGAGAGAGAGAGAGAGAGAGAGAGAGAGAGAGAGAGAGAGAGAGAGAGAGAGAGAGAGAGAGAGAGAGAGAGAGAGAGAGAGAGAGTAATTATTATTGTAACTGATGTAAGTTGGACAACCTAACCCTTAAACACGGAGCTATCGAGCATGAACTTCTTCCTCTGAACCTTTTTACCAAACTAGGTTGGGATCGGCTTTAAGTCTACTAATATACGGCCGAACTTTGATTTTAAAGCGGAGCGACTGCCATCAGACCTCCACAACACAAGTAGTAGAAGATAGCGAAGTTCTCTAGGAAGACTTGTCGGAGGGCTCCTGGAACGATTGCACAGATGTTCGTATGACAACCGGGACCCCAGGCTTAACGGTCTCTCCGAAGCACGGAGGGGTCTCAATGTGTTGAGAACCCATCCACTGACCATAGTAAAGACACTGTTGTTGGACTTTTAGGGCTCCAATTACTATCCAGCATGGAGGATCAGGTATAAACCACTAAGTTTAGAGTCGAAATCTATTGATTGATTTTAAAACTGTAAATCTCAAGTCCTCTTATCCCCAGATAATCTCTGAGAATCATGATCTTGCCCTTTTTCGCTATTTATTTGGGACAGGAGCAAAGTTTAACGTGTCTTTTATAGCTGGCGAAGTACCTAACGCGAACCCTTTGAGGCATCTTAACGTTCAATAACAAAAGTACTTCTTAAAAACTAATTGTACAACTTAAAAATTTATGGAAAGTGGATAGATCGAAGCAGTTAAGGGAGGAGGGGGGATAAAGTTCGAAGTGAAATTCTAAATTAAATTTTAATGAACGGTCATTTATAAACAATTATCTTTGCGTCATTAGGTCAACATTAAGTAGACATTATAAGGCAAATCAAGATTATCTATACTAATATTATAAAGCTGAAGAGTTTGTTTGTTTGTTTGAACGCGCTAATCTCAGGAACTACTGGTCCGATTTGAAAAATTCTTTCAGTGTTAGATAGCCCATTTATCGAGGAAGGCTATAGGCTATATATCATCACGCTAAGAGCAATAGGAGCGGAGCACCAATGAAGAATGTTTCAAAAACGGAGAAAAATTATTACTTGAGAGACGCAGACGAAGTTGCGCGGGTCAGCTAGTACTAAATAAAATAAATAAAGTGTTGTGGGTTCAAACCCCACATGGGACGACACTTTGTGTGATCCACAAATTGTGGTTCTGAGTCTGGGTGTTCTTTGTGTCCGTTTCATGTATGTTTGTAAAGTTCCCCGCGACACAGGAATGTATATTCCTAATGCGGGCGTTGTCTTTTTTAAAAAAGAAAAAAAAAAGATATCCTAGCCTCTCGCAGGACGTTTAAAAAGATGCTGTCAAGGACAATATAGTTAACGATTGTTTTACAAAGGAAAAAAGGTCTGGAAAGGATCACCAAAGACTGCTCGGATGGCGTAGTGGTTTAAGCGGTCGCCATGCCGCTTCCTACTATGCTGAATGTTGTAGGTTCGATCCCCACATGGGACGACACTTTGTGTGATCCACAAATTGTCGTTCTTGGGTATTCTTTGTGTCCGTCTCATGAATGTTTGTAAAGTCTCCCGCGACACAGAATATACTCCTAGTGCGGGTGTTGTAAAAAAAAAAAGGTACACTGATAGATGGGAAGGGTAGATGACACAGTAGTCACAGCAGAATTTAGGCAAGAGGACTAAAAAAAGAAGAATGAACTGTGGCAGTTGAAACACTTCAATCTATACTAATATTATAAAGCTGAAGAGTTTGTTTGTTTGTTTGTTTGAACGCGCTAATCTCAGGAACTACTGGTCCGATTTGAAAAATTCTTTCAGTGTTAGATAGCCCATTTATCGAGGAAGGCTATAGGCTATATATCATCACGCTAAGACCAATAGGAGCGGAGCACCAATGAAGAATGTTTCAAAAACGGAGAAAATTTATTACTATTGAGAGCCGCAGACGACGTTGCGCGGGTCAGCTAGTTGTATTATAAAGAAATAAGATACCTACTACTTCTTCCTTAAAGTGATATAGGAATATCAATTAGATAAATCTGGAGATTTCAAACAAGATCGTAAAATGACTAAATTAGGTCATCCTCGATTTTCATTATCATCATCAACAGCCTTAAACAGTCCACTGCTGGACATAGGCCTATCCTTAGAAAGGAGGTTTTGGCCTACTATACCACGCTGGCCCGACGGGTTGGTATAGGGTTTGTTTCAAGTTTTCCTTCTCTTTGCAGTGCTGTTGTCCTGCGTAGTTTGCTCTCTTAGTCGTCTCTTACGACACCCACGGGATAAATAGGGGTGGTGACACTCCGTATTCTTAATCCGTCACCACTCGATTTTAGAACAACGATATTAAAATTAGAACTAAAACTGACGGAGACATACAGGAGTATCGTATGATTAATAGCAGAATCGACTTCTCCTAAAAGCCTCAAATGATTTAATATTAATGTTGCATAAGAAGATCTGTGGGAATGAGTGGGATCTCCCGAGAAAACGGACCAAAAGGCCACAGTTCACCTCCAACGAAAGGAAGAAACGTTTTTCTATTCAATTTATTGTTGTTAATACTCTAGAGGGCAAAGCTTTTAAGAGACAAAGAATTGCTAAACCGAGTTTAATAAATAATTTCTTCGCACCACATTGCTGTATGAAATGTAAGTGTTTTGTAACTATTTTATAATGTAGTCTAAAATTAGTTGAACACGCTATTGTTCTAAGTATAAG